CTTATTATTATAACGTTCTAATCAAATTTTGCAATTTTATTATTGCAAAAAATATAACTTTCTTTTTTTAATAAATTCTAAAGAGATGAGAGACAACAGATGGACGAAACGGTACCCAAAATATGTCAATAAACCACTCAGATGGACCATCGAAGCCACTGGGTCGATCCACAGATTGGGTCGGGCGCGGGGAGCCCAAAATCAAAGTCAAAGGTATGGCCCTTGGCCCACAACATTGAAAAACGTTTCGCATAGAAATCGAGAATGAACAAGTGGCTGTTCCAGGTATTCAAGCAATTGTTAAATCTGTCAAGAAACAGCACTGGATTTGCAAATTTTATCGTAAATTTTCTAAGGCAACAGTTGGCGCCTTAGTGAATTTCGCATCTCAAAAAGTCGCTTGTTCCATCGCGTAATATATCAAATACTGATTAATGGTTTTTGTTAAAAATAGATTAAAGATCAACTGCGTTACTATAACGCGGTAACCCTGTCCCTGGTTTCAAACTTTGACCACCCTACCCTCATTAAACTTTCGATCTTTGTCCCCGGGGTATAAAAGCACTCCTCCCCATCGCCGGGATCTTCACTGTTTTACCTATCCACCACTTCTATTTTACCTGCGACCTATTTCTTCTATTTAACCAATACTCTTATTCTGGGGAGCTTCGGCTCCCCAGAGCCTTACCACGTTTATTTCTATTCTCATTTCGACATGTATTCTCGCTTTATTATAAATATGTACATAGGACGCGACGTCTTACACACAAATAACACACATACAGATGGGGCACACACTAGTCTAATATGCTAACAGTTAGGGTCGCGATAGTTCAAATAATGTCAGGCAGCAAAACTTACCGGAACTATCCGTAGAGGTCATGTAGTTAAAACCATCGTGATCCAGTAAAATTGGTGTTTTATTGCGAGAATCGGAAGAATGCCGTACGGACGAGCCGACACTGTCCACAGGTGGAACCGATAGTGACATATGCGACATCGGTGATGAGCCAATTTTTGACGCCGGAGATCGTACCACCTGAAAGCAACACAGTATTATTACTGGAAACAGATAAATGCATAGAAAAAAAAATTTCAAAAAAAAAAATGATAAAACGATTAAATACTTTTAATGTAGTATCAAAATACATTTTAAAAAAAGGGAC